TCTGTAATTTAATGAAGCCATGTGCGATATCATATTCTAATAGTTGAGCAAAATAATATATATCCACATATGACGACTGCCACTTCATCTACATACTCCATAATAAGAAAATAATTTCTTATTGTGTGTGCGATTGTATTATATTTTCAATCAACGACAAAATGAAGAAAAAGGTCACTTTGAGATGTTTCGACCGCAACTAATTTTTTTTTTATAATTCACTTCGTCTGACAGACAGACAGGTGTAAGTACGTAGGGTTCCGTACCACCGGGAACAAAAAAAAAAATGACGTTTGTTGTAATGCGATTGTATTATATTTTAAATCAAGAACACTGATGTTTCGACCGCAACATTTTTTTACGATGAGGAAGTATTTAAAAAAATAAAACGAAAACACTAAAAAGCACCTCTACTAAAAGGCGACTCTAGCAAAAATTGATTTTTGCAGGAAACGAATGGACCAGAGACAGTCATTTCCGTTCCTTTTAACTAACATATTAAAAAAACTGAAATTTGAAAAGTTTGAAACTTAGATATCAATTCAAATACGAAAAAACAAATAGAATATGAGGTGTTTATTGAGTTTTGGAATCTAATTTATTTTTAAACATGAAAGAAAACCGGAAAGATTGTCATGGAGAAATCAAGAACGTACCGTAGCGGCATCTAGTTTGATTTAGGGAACTAATGTTTTCTTTTAAATACTTCCTCATTCATTTCTTCTGACAGACAAACAGACGTAAGCACGTAGGGTTCCGTACCACCGGGAACAAAAAAATATCACGTTTGTTGTATGGGAGCCCCCTTAACAATTATTTTATTCTAGTTTTAGTGTTTGTTGTTGAAACAGCAACAGAAATACGTCAATTTTCACGGTTCATGAGATACGGTATGGTGACAGACAGATAGACAGCGAAGTTTTGATAATAAAGTTCTCGTTTCACCATTTGCATACGGAACCCTAAACGACGAAATCTGTCAGGTATATAATCAAAGTTTATGCACGATTCATTAAACTTATAGATATACCATGTCGTTCTTAGTGCTGACAGTCGTGCAGTGTATGTATTCCTTGAACTGGTTTATCTATTAACTCAAATTTAAATTTCAAATGATGCAGTTTATTTAGTACGATTCAGTACTAGGCAATCATGAATGATGTAAATAATGACAAACTCATTATGAATTCTATTAAATACGGGTATGGTTTAGAAATAAAAGGTTTTAAATTTATTTAATGAATATAGTTGTGTACAAAATGATAGATTTGTCACAAGTGATATCAAAAATATAAACAAACTATTTAGAGAATGAACTGCGGACTCATTTTTTTTAAATAGAACCGACTCTAATCTATAAAAAAGTGAGGAATAATACTTATGTTAAAAGCGACTTATTCAAGAAATTGCTATTGAAATCGGGCAGAGGTTTTCTGTAGGTTATGAAAGCTTTAATAATAAATATCTGTTTACAAATGTATGCTTTGGTGTCACTGAAAAATGTTGTTGTAATTAAATAGAAGAAACTAGTTGAAAATTATTCGTAAATAATAATGACTATGTAGATATTTGTAGGATAATAGGTGTTAATGGTATACACGTTCGTTTTATGAGTATTGATAAATTATCACGTCATTGGGGTTGAGCAAGTTAGTATAACCATATTTAGGTTTCTGTTATGCATGAGTCAGTAATTATTAAATAAATTATCTAATTCATAGACTTGTTACTAGGTTTAGGGCAAGGTGATTTTGTTTGTAATTTTGTTGAAACTGTTATTTGTTGAGTAAGTGGTATTTTAAATGGTTCTGCTTATTAGAATGGATACGATCGAATTAAGTTGTTTACAAGTAGGTCTCGCTATTTAAATGAAGTTTTTTGCCATGTCTAATTTGTGATATATTTACATTGTTACTAAAATAATAAAAAATATGTGGTACTAGTTATTATTAATCGAATAATAATCTATTCTGGTCTTTTTTTTATTTTTTTTAGGCTATGCAAGCCTAATTAATACTATTGTGTCTATTGAATTGATTTCTATGTAACATTATTAATATTTTCTATCGTTTATTTGAATATATATACTAGATTTTTTTAATGCAGATGAAAATATTTTTCCAATTCAATGACTTATACGTTTTAGGCATACTAGTAGTTGTAACACACATTTAAAAATGTATGTGCTATCATAAGTGTTCACATGTGTGTGACAGGTATTTGATACTCATGGGACATGTTTGAGCATACAAGTGCTTTGCTATTCCGTTTAAGTTTTTTTTTTTTTATTATAAGACTGGGTTGACATTTGGCCACTATCTGACCTGATTGTAAGCTGAGGCCTAAGATGTAGCCTACCCAAAAAGTGCCTATTTACTATGGCTTTGAAGAGTGCCAAGTTATACTGATTGGGGAATACATGACCAGGCAATGCATTCCATTCCTTAGCTATTCAAAATGGAAAGAAGCTGGCAAATCACTTAAGAGCTAGTAAAAGCAGATGAGATGTCAACAACGTTCGAGTGATAAGCCAACTAGTAAATCGTACTTCGGTGATGCTACCGGTTTTTGAAAGCTCTCGCTAGACATGTGCGTACACTTTGTTTAATTAAAATATAAGCGCACCAATAAGCGACAAAGTATCAAATACCCGTGACACACATTGTCAACACTTAAATGATCAAATGAGTGTGTACGTGTCTGGCACAGGGGTAACGCACATCAAAGAGATCACTGTGGAAGTGTTGCCTGTCACACTTGCTCAAAGTTCATTGAAAATTGTGAGCTCGAAGAAGTTATTAAATATTTGAACACATATCTGGCAGGTACAATAAGTGATCAAATGTGCGAGAAAAGTCATTTGAAGAACAGTTCATTTATATGTGAACAAATAAAGAAAATCTAATATGTTTTTTATCCTTCGTAAGTTACTGACACATATTTCTATAACAGATGTTTGTTTTGTGATTGCGTGGATGTCTTTGCAATATTGTTTGTCACAAGAACAAGCCAAATATGAATAAAACGGATGAATATAAATTCAATATTTATGATTGAAGTTCACCTTCACATTATATTAAAGCCAAAAACAAAACTTCCAATAAAAAAAGTATCTTTATAGCCTTTGCAAAATGTTTGCAACGCACGTTCACTTAAAAAATTAAAACATTACGTAAAGTTGAATGAGTTAAATGGCAGAAAGTTCATAAGTTTGTGTTTACTTCGAGAGCTCGCGAGAATTTTTAAAAAGAGGAGGTTCTATGTTGGTAGGGTATTATGTATGACCAATTTTTAAATTTCTTTTAACCTATAAACTATACAAAACTGCCGCCCGACTACAACGGTTTTATAAACATGCACCGCCTGATGCGTATTCATTTGATCTATAATGTTATTAACACTGATACATAAATAAATAAGTCAGGGTTCCAGCATCAATTCAATACATTTTGTTCGCCAGCCAAAAGGTTAAGAACCACTGTACAGTACAGCACGTCAGGCTATACAAAACTGTCATGTTTCACTTGATTTTAAACCTTATTGCATTGTTTGGTAGAGTTCAAAATCAAATGAGGAAATTTGACATATTGTGGTAGCCTGATATGAAGCAATCTGTAAAAATGGTATCAAATATTGTCATAAAAGTTTTTAGAAAATTACGCATAAATTATATTTTTTACTTGTTAATCTATACAAATATTTACATAAAAAACAAGTTAATCTACGAGTACATATTTTATTAACCTGTCTGATGATGTCAGATAAGATCAGATATCTAGGCCATTTTGATGAATAATTAACCTCAGGATCAGGTGCTCAATTTCCTGTATGATTTTTTCATCCATCACAATAGATAAATTTATCAGTTTCGAGTTGACATCTATCACCTTTATTGAGCTTGGAAGCTACGTTATTAACTCAATCTGTCTTTGACAAGCTTATCTCATTACACCAAACGTAATTTTTCTTTGTTATTAAAAGTTTGCCTATAGAAACATAAACATCATAAAATATATATTCACTTTAATACTTCTTTAATACTTCTTTAATACTAGCTGTTTTCCCGCGGCTTCGCCCGCATAAATTACAGCCTATGTCACCTGTGTATGATGCTTTCCGTAGGTGAAAGAATTTTCATGACCGGTTCAGTATTTTTGAAGATTACCCCCTACAAAACCAACAAAGGTTTTATTGGGTTAAATACTTCAAAAAAACTGAATCCTCCCAGGGCCTCCGGTCCTGGGGGCCTTCAAATAGGCTACAGCCATCAGTCAAAATATAATGTAATAGTAATATAATGTTAAACAATATCAAGTTTCTGTTCTGGTTGAAGGGGTCTTGCCGCCCCGGACCTTCGATAAGGTTAGTCCGCCACTGATTCCCAATTCTGAGATAAAACTTTTTTTGTGTTTTTTAAGAAAATGTGCGAATTATTCCATTCTCTATTCAAATTCCGTGTCCAAAATGGCTGAAATTTTGAAAAAATAATCGCAAATATTTCTTTACATTAGAGAAAAACCAATTAAAGCTAGACTCATATTTGGCCGGTTTTTAAGTAAGATGGTACTTGAACTTTTGCGTTATTATTATATGTATCGTGTAATATTATTATATGCCAGGACTTCGTGAGATGGATGCCAACTTTTACACATGGGAGCAACACTTAATTCACGAAAAATTAATCAGCTTTTTCATACAAAATTGTCATACACCTACAATCGTCAAAGGTATAAAACAGCTGATTATTTTTTCGTGAATACATTGTTGCTCCCAAAGTAAAAGTTGGTCAGTATACTTAACCCATTCACTCTACTAACGGTCAGTAGCACAATCGTTCATTAAGGTTTAATGACGCCTTTAAGCTCAAATGAATGTCCAATTTGTATGGGTAATGTCGCTTTGAAACAATTAAATTTTTAATGAACGTTTGCGCAACTGGCTGTTATTCCTGGACCATAATATTACATCTTATATAATAATATGCTTTTGTTTTCCCTCAGGTCCGATAGTATCAGCGTTATGCAACAAATTCGGATGTCGCGCGGTGTGCATAGCTGGGTCACTCGTGGCCACCACGGCGTTCGTGATGTCCACCTTCAGCAAGAGTGTCACGGTCATGATGATCACGTACGGTTTATTAGGAGGTAAGTTTACAATTAGTACTCAATGAGTGTAGTAAAATCACGTATACAAAGATTCAAACAGTTGTCATCTAACTCGTAATTTTACTATTGTACTAATTACCTAAAGTCCAATATTATTATTCCAATGTCTTCGTCACACATCAATGGTAAGATATATGTCGGCGGGTAGTCAGAAGGGGCTTTTACGAAGCCCAAATAGATGGTCCATATCGGAGGACCATCTTTAAAATAACACTGCAGGCGTGTATACCAACGTGGATTTGTTCCATTTTATCACTTTTCATACGAAAATATAACAAGATGAGCGTCAGAATGAAACAGAATGTCTGCGAAAAATGGCGGCAATTTGCTTTTTGTTAACGAACTGTCAAAGTCAGTGTCACCATTCTAATAAAATTAAAAGTATCGATGATCACACTCTCTCTACAATCGAGTAATTAAGTAATCGAGTAACTAGCAATTAAAATAAAAGAAACTAAATCAAACGATCTTCGTAAAGATGATGCGACATATATATAATAATATTGGATTTCAGGTAGATAGTAACTATTATAAGGTAAACATTAGCAGATATGGCCTCGTGTACTCGTGCGGTCAACTCAATTTAACCGTAACGCAAGCTCTGAACTCGACAAATTCCGTATCCCAACGAAGTACGTACTTATTAAGAAAAAACAATAATTCTGATAAATTTTGTTATAATCGGTTATACTACAAAATTATCTTTTATTTGAAACAATTTAACTTAAACTCAACCCAGTAAACGCAATCTCTAATCTAACTCATAACTCTTTTTCTTGTAAAGATTTGTCTTTATAGTTATGGTGTCCTTTAGTTGCCAGATTGAAATACGAGTATTCTTAATCAGCCTTTACGGTATTGTAGAATATAGTATTAGATTCGATATCATCTTAGGAATTCAAGATGTTAGTTCGTATGCAGCTCTAGTAATGTATTTCGTTGTCTTCATATAAATACTTTTGTATGCGAAACATCAACAAATTGATTGTTGTCCAAGTTGTTGTCCATTTTAAATAATACTAGGCTTTTCAAGGAGAACAAGTTACTTGTTTTAAAAAATAACAAAAATATTGATCGACTTTTTTTTTTATCTGGGACTGAATTGATTCGAATTCTGGTTTGGTCATAAATTTAAATACGTGTTACTATTTTGAATTCTATACATTTATTTATGATTCTATTCTATTAACACAGAGTTTGGTTGTTATTATAATGAAATAGAGTTACAGCGTTCACTGGGACAATGCCAATAAAAAAAATATGTAAATCTTATTGATTTCTTATAATTTTCACGGGTACTATCCATAAATGAAACAACTTTTAAACGTTATCATCGCGTTTGTATTTAGTTTTGGCGAACAATGAGGAGCATAGGTACTCGCCTTAGGGAACACGTAGCTAACGTTAAGCATAGGCGCGACAATAAATCTGCAGTGTGAGAACATGCTTTAGCAGGAACCGAGCATTGCATAATATTTGACAATCCAAAAATTCTTGTGACTGAACAAAGATTCATCCGCCTCAGCCGTGGTTCGCACGCCGGTTTCAAGGCGTCGCTTAGTCTTAAGTGAACATGGAACCTGTGAAGGTTCCGAAACGTCAATAAAACTAAATAAATACAAACGCGATGAAACCATTTAAAAGTTGTTTCATTTATGTAAATCTTAATATGTGAACTTAGCGACATATCTGCTCAAGGCAGTGGCGTAACTATAACGTTTGAGGTCCGTGACAAATTCATCAGATATACATTTTTTTTTTACTAATTGCGTAATAATAAATGTCAGGAGTAAGGAGTCTCCTCTGACCGGGGGCCCCTTCAGCTGGGGGCCCGTGGCATTTTGCCGACTTGCCACCCTGTAGTTACGCCACTGGCTCAAGAATAGTTTATTGTTTGTATATCTGTGCTCAAGGGTAATGGATTTTCAAACATATTAATTTTCAATTAGATTAGCTGTTCTGCCAGGACTTCGTAAATTATAGCGTATGATGTACTTCCGTTCCCAGTATTTTTTTAATAAGTCCATTAGTTCCAAATTCTATTAAATGCGAACAAATAAGTAATCAAATCTTTCCTCAGTATATAATATTAGTTCAGATAATTACTATTTTCATTTAAAGAGTAAGTGATCAGAATTGTATTTTATGAAGCTAGTCACAAAAGATTAAATCATGGATTATAAGTATTAAAACTTAAAAATTAATGGAAATTCTTATTCACGTATGTTAAGGATAGTATTTTTATAGTCGCATTATTGTGTTTTATAAAGTGTGACCGTAAGCAATAAACTTAATTGGACAAATGTCAGAGTTATGTATGCGAAACACGCTGCCAGTAACCTTGGCACATTGGCACAGATGTTGTTATACTTGGCGTCGACGCGACACGGAGCATGGTGTCCTTCAAGTTTTGATTTTTATGTTTTACCAGCTGATGCCGGGAACTTTGTACCGTCTTAGAATTAATAAATGTAGTGTTAAGTCATGTATGACCTATCTTTGACTTTGCTTCGATTATGACATAACAATTATTTATGCGCACAAAATCACAAATATGATATCCTTTATTCTCTTTATACGCATCATGACAACTGTCGTACATAACAATATCATATACCTATGGCTGGGCTACAGACCTGCCCTATGAATGGAATCGAATATATCGAATGACATCGATCGAATATCGAATAGAACGAGTCATGACCTACCACGCGGGTTTTTTGTATCTTCTTAATTTGCTATTTCGGCCGAAACGAATCTAATAAGATCATGAAAATCAATCAATCAGGAATCGAGTTTTAAATGATATAATGGCTGCGATTTCATTTCGATTTTTTGTTTCTATGTTCTTTGTTAGTATTATCAGTAATTGTAACATTGAAGAAGAGCAAAATGTCCTACTTTTTCGCACGCAATTTATTGATAAGTAGGTCAATTTAAAAAGAGGGCGTATAAACCAATCTGATGGGTATAAAGTCTGAAAATTTTTTCGGTTTTCTATGTTCTGTGAAAATCTATACCATAATAGGTGGAGCAACAAGAAAACTGTTGCAAATACTGAAAAACCAAGAGTGTGAAGCCGCTGGAAAGCTTGTTATAGTACATATTGTCTTCTACTCAAATGGACTATTGAGTTATAAAATTTATTTTTATTTATATAATTATAAAGTTTCCTCTAAAATAATCTTAATTTATATTATTTTAGTGAAGTGAAAATTTGTTTAATCTTTGAATCGGTTTGTTGACGATTTATAGGTTAAGTGTGCCTGTAGAATATAGTCACCAAAATAATTTTAGCTGAAAGTATTTTTTGACGCTTGCTTTTTGCGTTACCATTTATTTATAGTTAACAATCAAGTATTAAATATCGATTATAAACTAATATCAATCGTTTTTGTTCATTGCAAGCGTTTAAACTACTTCGGAATATCGCGTGTGAAATTGGACCCATGCCAACGCTCGTCCGACGAACAATAAAACCGTGCATGACACTCATCTGAGTTGCGCGCGACTTGCGAAGAACCCTTCTTTCAATTAGACCGATTACTGGAAAACCCTAAACGTACCCCGAATCATTTACTCGTTCGATATATTTATATTATTCATAGGACAGTCGGTCAGTTTCCAGGATATAGATGAAAAAAACCTTACAATCCGTTTTGTAATTTAAAAGATTACAGCGTACAGACAGCGTACAGTAAGCGGCTTTGTTTAATACTAAGTATTGATAGACTAGTCGAAAAAATAAAAAATTTCAAATGTCGGTGATGATCCTAAAAATATTGCTGAATAAACTGAATTAAGGAGATAGAATGGAACACGAACCTTCCCAACACTTTACTACCACTTGAATACTGCTTATATTTTTATGAATGCAAAAAAAAAACATGAAAGCCCTCAACAGTTTGCCTTTTTCCTTTGAGTCGGAAAAGACTGATTTCAATTAAAATAATACGAATTTCGCTGAAAATGAACGTTCCCATCCCAATGACTAGACAATTGTCTTTGTCTTAGCGCCTACCGAATCACTTGGAAACAAAGAACATCTGTTTGAAATTCATGGAAGCAAGGTAGAATCAAGATTGTTGCATATTTTAAGATTCATTTTATATTCTTAATGTGGGTTCTAAGATGTATAAAAATGTGTGTGTTTTATAGGCGAACTAGTCTGAAGGTCGTGGAATTATCCTGGCATAATGCCAGTAGATGCAGACATTGTGGCGCCTCACTTCAGTACCTTAGACTGTTAACTAGCTGTTGCTGCATTTGACATTCGTAAGCTTTGTTGAGAAGGATAATCTATTATCACAGAGGAGACATATATTTCAAAGAGGTCTATTTTATCTTTAGAAACTAATCGATCTGGAATTGTGCAGGTATTAATGCGGTCGTCTGATATATTATTGTATGTAATCTTATTATGAACACCAGTCCTATTCATGTTGATAATATTAATAAACGTTTTTCAGTAGACATATCTGTCTGCTAGACCATTCGGAATGATGTTTTCAATGATAATGTTGATATAATTATTTAACATGAACCAAGGATCGTGACGAAATTCTAGGTATTTGGCAAAAATAACATATCAATTGAGGTATAAATGAGGATATACATTTTAGTTTTTATTTAGAACACACTAACATTTTCTGTATATTGTGTGTTATTGTTGTTTCCATATCGTTAGTGTGTATTAGCGCTGTCGATGATTGATCTCTGTTGGCAATGTTAGATCATCAAACATCAATGTCGACTCAAGACGATTTCAAAGGTCGCGGTGCGTGGAAAATTTGGTGTAACTGAACGAGAAAATCAGATGATACGATTCAATGAAGGCTTTTAAAAATAATAAGAGTTTTTTACAACGTTAAAACTCTTTATAGAAATATGAATTTAATTGAAGTCAATGCGAGATATGAATCTCATGAATGGACACATTTATTATATAGATTTGGATCTACCAATGCCAATAAAGTGCCCACTTTTTGGGTTTCGGGTTTTAATACTCAGTAAATGGAGAAAGAAACTCAAAGTATTGGAGTTTTTTAATTGAATATATCTGTACGTTTACTCACTGTCGAAAATATTTATACTGTGGTTGCCAAAAGCTCAACATGTGTCATCCTTAGGATTTGTTTTCATACAAATACAGTTCGTTTTCGGTCTTGTTACTATGGTAACTACGATTCAAAATTATTTTTATTTAGTTTACTTCTATTCATTAATTATTCGTTCGTTCTACATTTGACGAAGTTAATATTTTTCATTTTTATTATATTTTTCTTTGTATATTATCTATCTACATTGTCGATCACAAGATAAAACAAAAGCTTATTACAAAGCTTACATTCTTGCTTTTATGTATCATACTACAGATATACTTTAACTTATACTACCTTCCCTCTAAAATAAAGATCTACATCTCTTTGTTCTTAATCTACTCGCAATAGAGAGGATAAATAGTATTGTTTTTACATGATAACCGTGAAGAATTGACTTGGAATGAACTTATGAATTTCAAATTTATCAATTTGCCTTGAATGTATGTAGGTTTACGTTATCGACACAAGCAGATTCTCCGATGTAGGTCAATAAAAAATTCAACCCAATTCAATTGCACGACCGACTTTTGCTCTCTTAACCGTGTTTTAGTAAAAACACTTCTAAATCATTAACTGCTGATTGTTCCCTAGAGGCTAAATTGTTATATGTTCCGCGTTCCTAAGAGCTCTTCTCGATATATAATTTTAATAATTATTATGTATATAACTTAGTAATGAAACAGAAAACTTTTTGTTTTGATCGTTATGGTTAAATGACCGCAATAATTTATCGTATTAGTAGCCTCAATCATTGTTTGTTAATTTACTTGTAAATGTTTGATCAGAAATGGGACTAGTGCCGGAAAGTGACGCATTGCTGTGAAATTGGTGTCGATGAACTGTTCGCAACAAAACGGCCCACATGCCCCTTTGTGTTTTTCAAATATGTACCGATTTGTGGACAGACAACGGGCTCGATGATTCACTGAATATCGTGTTCCGATTTATTATTTACTAGCCACCCTACCTGACTTCATATGGGTGCAATTTATATGCAGTATGCTCCCTTTTTGCATGATTTTTGCTGACATTTTCGACAGTCGACGTCATACTTCGGTATTTTATTTAAACTGAATTTGTACTAAGTTTAAGACCCGTAAGATTTTGCGTTTTTGAAACCGTTACTAGGTGTCTCGTTAAAATCTCAATTGTTTGATGAAACTAAATGTTTCTTAGTTAATATTAATGAATATTACTATTGTTGCTAAGTGGCATGTGATCTCAAATTTTAATATAATTTATAGATACATATCAAAATTAAGAATTTGATAATTTATAGGTAATATACCAAGAAAATTGTTTGGTTATAGTTAATTATGAAAGATATATAGTTTGAGACAAATCTCAGTTTGTATTAAGAAATAAGCCTTTGTCAAGAAAATTCTTATATAAGAGTGAAAACCGAATAAAATCCGTTGCGTAACTTAGGAGTAAATTGAACTTTAACAAACACAGGCAATCACGGGCGATTACAACTGCCTTTTCAATTATAATAATACTATTAATAGAGATGAGTTCATTTCGTTATGTGTTCTAAACAAATTCCGATTCATCCATTAAAATATGTAATAATATGTTTAGTAATTTACGCTTGACATGAGCAATTACACGATGGTTGTCCTCTGAAGCAATAGTGTTCAACAATGCGTCCATGATGGTATGATACTTGTGATTGATGTCGAGGTCAACCTGTCCGGTTTCAATTATGATGACGCTTCCCCTTTTTCATTAGAGTTTTATTAGGAAACTGGTCAGGAATTTCTGTTACAAATTGATCAAAGAAACGTATAATTTCACATGCAGACTTTAGCTAATATAAGTGTATACTTGTAGCGTCTGCGTGTTCCTAATAAAAGTTCTTTCCTCTCGAACCATAAATGATTATTAAGTATGCGTTAGCGTATAAGTAAAAGCAAAAAACCTCAGGCTTTTTATTAAGGAAATATATTTATATTTTAAAGGTTAGTTACAGATATTGAATTCTTAAAGAATACTATATAGTGAAAACGCTGTTTGTCAAACCAAAAATAAGTACTAAGTGTTATTTGTTTGCTTCAAAGTAATTATAACTATTCTTTGTTGACTTATTAACAATTAAAATAAATAAGTAACATAGCTATAAAATAAATTCTGTTTAATACGAGTATGTACTTTTTCACAATAACTTCCTCTGTAATGATCCATTTACCACGTACCTAACTCTCTTATCAAAAACAACAGGATGACGATGCTTCCATTGTTTCAATATATACATTGATTTATACATATATATTTGAACGCATTTTCTTTTCTATTTCAGGAATAGGATTCGGTATGATATACTTGCCTTCAGTGGTGGCAGTAGGTTACTACTTCGAGACGAGACGATCTCTCGCCACTGGCATAGCGGTGTGCGGTTCAGGAGTCGGCACATTCAGTTTTGCACCACTCGCGTCTATCCTCCTGAACGAGTTCGGATCATGGCAAAACGCAAATCTGCTGCTTGCCGGCTTGATCCTCAACTGTGCCGTCTTTGGCGCATTGATGAGACCATTGGTCTACCCAAAGGTAAATATACTTAATACCATTATACCGGGTATAATATCAGGCTTTGGGTATCATAATTCATGTGGCGGAATGAGACATTTGTTGGGCTAATTTGTAGGTGGCAGAGTTCCTAAATATGGTGCATGATTTAATATCATTATTATTTCGTAGGCGTCGCCAATCCTGAATCATATATAATATACCTAACTATTTGACCAATGTATGCGAGTAATTTAGAGCAGATAGACATTTGGTAGGTATCTACGTCTAATTTATAACTACTTAGTAGCTAGTAGTTTTAGAAAAAGGTAATCATCGCGGTTGTTAGTTAGAAAAGTACAATACTACGCCATAAACCTATTGTTTCTCCAAGTCTCAATTTACTTTAACCTTGTTTAGTTGGCCGGTACATCCCCAGTAGGTAGTTCAATTAGTTGCCCATATATTACAGACGTCAGGTGAAAAGCCACTCCTACAACGTATGGCTGAAGAGAAAAGACTGCAAATGGAACGGGGATCAATAGGAGGGTCATACTTCATGGTGCAACTACCAGATGGCACCATGGAAAAAAGAATGAAGGTATGAAAACGCACAAGAAGAAAGCAACGCTGTATCCCTGCCGGGTTAGTCTAACAACAGAATCTGCTGACTTTTTATTTAGGACATTAAAATTATAGTTTTAATTATTGAGTCGTGTATTGTGTTGTATGCGTTTAATGAAACTTTTTTATTGTTGTTAACAACAGTTGTAAAAATAGTCTGATGACTCGTTTAATCAACGGATAGAGCGAAGGTTAGGTGAATATGACATTAATGTTATGTGGTCGTTTTTCATGTGTGTTATGCTTTGTGACAGAATGCAGATAGTTTTATCAAAAGGCGCTACCATTATTTATATTAATATACATATAACGATGTTTTTAATTACTCATTGTTGTTATAACACGTGTCCATGATATTGGCTCGCAGATGGTGATAACTACATTATCCTCTCATTACAAACAGTCATTATTCATCAATAATCACTTAGGTATATGTTGACTTTGTATGATGGTATTGGTATGTTGTCTGTCTCCATGTTAGAGAAATTTGATGTCTTTATCACGTGTAACTACTAAAACTAGAGTATTCTATAATGATGGGAAGTATACAACGAAAGAATCTTAAATTTATGAAAAGTATATGTTGTCAATATTGTTTAATTTATTTTTTCAATTTCTAAATCGTTTTATAGTTAATTTACTAGATGTGACAATCTCTTTCTCCATATTTCTCTATCTCTTCATCTCCTGTCTGAAATATATGTAAAATAAGTGATATTCACGATTCGTATAATATTAAACAGTTTATAATAAGTAATAAGATTTAAAATGACGGAAGTGCAACAATTGCAGGCGCCCCTGAATATAGACCCGGGTGTGCATTCGTCACTTAATCTGGAAGCGTTGGCTCGCGTGCCCACTGTACCCAATATGCCCGGAGTACCCACCGTGCCTACTCTACCCACCATCACAGAAGCTAAAGTGATTGATGAGACTAACGAAAAGAAGGTTAGTTAAAGGAATGGACAATTTGGCTATCCAAACGGTCTGTTATTTATTGCTTTTTGTTTTCAGTAAAAATGTATATTTAATTTTATAAATAGCGATTATTAAATTAAATCATGAGGCGAGGTTGTACGAAATTACCAGTTTTTTTCCAAGGCTAAGCTAATATTTGCCAAATAAAAGTATTTGGTGAAAATTCAACATACACTGAAAAAAAAAATGTCTACTTCAATCACAATCTTGTTTATTATAATCACCCTTCTTGTTTCTATTTGAACCTGCTAAGAGCTAAATTGATTTGACTTAGAGAACTTTGTCGAATATTTAATCAAAAATATGTTTAATGCAATTGTGAAACAATATCAAATTTACGGTTTTCCATAATAGAATCAACTAAGAAAATAGTTATATCAATGCTAATACTTGCTTATTCGAACAATTATTTTATTCAATTCAAACATATTACTTCTTAAGATTCAATAAGACACTACTTAAATCAACCAAGATTCTTGATTCTGCCTACCTACTGCAATTTTAAGCCTACAAAGTATGTTTGTAGATTCAATTTTTCCCATAGTCGTATCAACTAAGAAAATAGTTATATCAACGGTATAACATACTTAGAAGAACAATTAAATTGTTTAATTCAAATACGATACTCATTTAGATTCAATAAGAAACTACTTCAATCGATCAAGACGTTTAGTTGCACCTACTTAATATTGTATTGAACCAATTAAACTGCTTGTTTACAATAACATATATCATATTCAGTGCAAAAATGTGTATTAGCTCTTTCAATCAAGGTCTTGGTCAAGTTTGTCAAATTAGTTTATTATATCTACTAAGAGTGATTGTTGATATGTTCATATCAGATAATTGATCTAATAAAGACACTTCTTCCAATACACAATTAAGCTATAACTACTCTTGTCTGACGCTACACATTGTATCGTTACGGTGTGAACGTAAATAAATAAGTTCACAACGTAACAACACAATGTGTCGCAGACAGACAAGAGTAGTTATAGCTTAATTGTGTATTGGAAGAAGTGTTTTTATTAGATCAATTATCTGATATGATAATATATGATTTTATGAAAATAATAAACATTTTATTTTAAAATATAAATTTTATTATATCTCTTTTACATTGTTTACTTACTTTCTAAATTATTTAATATTTTAGATACCATAATGCACATCGCTAAGAACATTAATGTTACATGGGATAGGAGACACTAAAGTCTTGTAACGTTTAATTACATTTTGATTAGTTTCAGTTTCGGCAACTTGATAAGTAAAAAAATGCTCGTCAAATCTCAGTGTCTGCATTAATGTTCCTACAAAAATTAAATCATTTGAGTCATAGGTACAAGTAAACATTGTTAACAAGTAAATACGAGTACGTTCGCAGAATATCAAAACTATGAGACAATTTGAAGTGCGACTTAAGAAATTTTGTATTTGGTAATTGCAAATGACATATATAAAACAAGAGAACATAATGGTAATTATAACTTTTTTAACGTATATTCAATAGTAATATAACCTGATGTTATATTCAATAGTAAAAATGATTTGATCCTAAATAAATTCTCACCAACAAATAATATACGAGTATATGATTGTGGGCATATATTCCTTTTGTTTTCAAATAGTTTAGCCTGGAATCTATTGTTTCATGTATTGCAACATCTAATAGCCATCTCTAGCTTCAGCTTCGGATGGCTTCCAAGAGCATCCAGACTCTGATTTGCCTTTTTTATATTTTAACTTAATGTTAGATGTATTCAGCGGATCAACGATTGCTAGAAAGATTGCTAGATTTTGTTGTTCTATATTAGAAACTGAAACAGATAAGAATTATTCATTAGAATAAGTAGGCATGGCAATGGCTATGGGCAGGATATAGCAATATATATATATATATATATAACTTCACGTTCCATATATATTTTAAAGTAAAATAACATTGAGATTAATTACTTTTGTTGTTATTATCATTATTTGTACAAGTATTTTCTAAATACAATGACTAAAAATAATGTTTGTTTGCTTTTATCATTTGGGTAAGTACTTTAGTCGTACTGTATTCAGATGCAATCAAATTTATATTAAAATAAAAACGCAGTCATAATGATTATGAATTTAAACGGAGATTAATTACCTACTTACACGGACAAACAAACAAAAATTTGTCATCATCCTTATTGTAAGGATACAAAGATATGCGAATGAACGCTAATGAAATAATAATAATGTTAAGTAGTAATCAAAAAAAGTTAATAGAAGAAAACGTAAGATAAAATAAAAAGGTAAAAAACATAAATAAACGATATTTAGATAGAGATAAAAGCTTACCGAGATAGATGTGATGTTGTTACTACACTCGCAACCATTTTGAACTTTCCATGTACTTCAGCATCTGGTGAACAAAACCCTCGGTCCTGATTGAGGAATAAGATCCCTTAGATCTTTTATGAGGGCAGATAATGCCTGAACATAACCTGCTGCTCTAAAACAGAATAAATAATTTATTATTAGGTATACGCCATATCAATACTAATAATAACGCTAAAGAGTTTGTTTGTATGTTTGGTTAAACGCGCTTATCTCAGGATTCGAATTTAAAAATTATATTTGTGTCGAATAGTCCATTTATTAAGGAAGGCTATATAACATCACGCTTAGACTAATAGGAAGGGATCAACAATGAAAAGCCGCTGGCGAAAAGCTAGTATAAGTATATAAACTAATCAACACACAGCTGAAACTAATGCATTCTCACAAACTTGAAAATTGGTAGAGGTTCCTTTCATGATGTAAATGAGTACTAAAAAAGGATTTTTAGAAATAGGGGTGTGAAGTTTATATGGCCCATGCGGATGCGGGCGAAGCCGCTGGCGGAAAACTAGTCAAATATAAAGATTTATACTTATTAATAAACCTGGAACTTACCTTCAAATACTGGAATAAGTTGTGAGAGTTCCCACGCTTGTAACAATTTTTTCACATCTCCGTTCATGCTATTATATCCACTAACATTGATATGTACTTCCAACGCACTATTTTGTTATTTTTCATCTTTGTGGTGAATAAAAATTTAAATGGGAGGTAAATACCAATTGATACCTAATTAAATAAAACAAAAGTAATTGCGAGCAGTTGAACACGCTGCACCACAATTTCAAATGAATAAATGACAGAGATGGCACGAGACGGACAACGTCGGTTTAGCAGTGTTGTAATCATGGACGTTATTAATTCAATGCAGTCATTGTTGCAATAATTCAACAAATTAATTGCTACAACTATTGATGTATGTTAATAGAAAAAAATGAAATAATAGAATTTACTATTATCTTGTTTAATTCAGCTATAGATCTAATTTAATGTAACGTTTCCAGTGATCGTTATAACATTGCGCATTGTCAATGCAACATATGATCTTCGTATGTCTAAGTAAACTCTCAATTGATTCAACAATGTTTCTTAGTTGATTTAGCTTTAAAAATAGTTAGTTTTATATTTATCTTAATTGAAGGGAAGATCAAAATTGTTCATTTTAACATATCTTATAATTATTTCGACTTTGTGCTTTGTTAATCATACAAGCAGCAATTGTTGATACAAATATGACCTCAGCTAAAACAGATAAAAAGAAGGGAGTCGATTTAACTACGTAAATTTTATTAAATTAAAAAATGTCTTATTTATCTTGATTTAGGACTGTTTTGAGTTAACAATTTACCTTTCAAACAAGTAATGGTTTTTCTAACAACTAATGTCGTTTCGTTAAGGTAAAAATATGCAATGTTAAAGTAACCGATGTAATTATTAATTCAACATTTTTTTGGCCAACTAAGAGAAAATGCTACTTAGTTGGCTATCATTTTTTTCAGTGTATGATCGATTGCTTGCTAAACTAGAAACATGTTTCAATAATTGGCTCGATAGGTTTTTTGGATCGATTTTACGACTTATATATTTCTTCTTGACTATATAAAAATATATATAATAATAATAGATTTTGATATAATCTAAAGTATACAAAAAAATAACTGCATTTGTTTTTATGATTAAAAATGTATGAAACCTAGCGACCACGATCTTTACTCTCGATGCGTATTTGTATGGGAACGTAAGCCGAGTTACAATAGATATATAATGTTGTGGATTGTGGATATAAGTATAATATTTTACTTTTTGTATTTTAACTAGCTGTTGTCCCACGACTTCGCACGCTTAAATTATAGCCTATGTCAACCCCTTACGATGTCGCTACACTAACTACTAATATGTGACTTTTTTTTAAATCGGTCCAATAGTTTCGGGGCCTATTCGATACAAATAAAAAAACATACAAACAATTAAATCTTTCCTCTTTATAATATCACTAGCTTTCCGCCAGCGGCTTCGCCCGCGTGATTTAGTTGAAGTCCAGAAATGAGAAAATTCCAGAAAAACTTTCATCCCCTAATTTACTCCCTTAGTGGTCGAATTTCGTAAAATCCCGTCTTGGTGAGCACTTACGTCCTAAATGGAAACCGCATGCAAAATTTAAAACTCCTAGTACTTGTAATTTCTGAGATTTCGTGATGAATGAGTGAGTGAATGAATAAGTGAGTGAGTGGCCTTTAGCTTTTATATATATGTAGATGTATTGCAATATATGTATAATATTTGACATGTGATGTATGTTGTTTTCAGAACGGAAACGGTTCCGCCGTATCGTCGACGCAGCAACAGATGTCACGCAACGTTTCATCGCCTGCGTTTACTGCTCAAGCTCCGGGCTTACCAAAGAACGGTTCGGTGCCGTTCTTCGATCGTCAAAGGAAGCAGTCCACCGGAGATAGGTCAGAAGCTGATAGGTAGCCATAACATGTTTAATTCACTCATCGTACGGCTGGAAAAATGCATCGTGTTCGCTCAAGTATTTATTAGTGTTGGGGGTTTGCATGTAGTGTTTATTCTCTATTCTATTAGACGATATGAACATCGAGATAGTTTGTCTGCATTATTGCCAGATATTTGATGTCTTTTTTTTTATTTATTGCACTATATAATTCAATTATTACATACTACTTTTTATTTGGGGCAATAAATATTATGACTATGACTAATCTGTGTATAGTTTTTGCAGAGTTGTTTTTTTTTGTATATTATATGAACCGAAGGTAGTTTTATTATATTTTTTTTATCGAAATTTGATCCAATTTCCTTTTACATCAAAATAACTGGAAGAGTCAATATAAAATTCTAATACTTAACGTAGATATACATGTACTGAAGGTCATCTAAAATCAGAACGGTAGTTCAAAGGTAAATATTCAAAGTCGAAAATATTTTAAGTTATACAATTATTATTTATTGTTTTATTTAAGATAATGATAATACTCTTTGATGATAACAAAAACTCACGAGACAGCAGTAAAAATAGTAAACAATTAACAAAAGTGACAATATTTCTAAAAAACAAAACACATATCAACACAAAATGTATAAATACACCTATCTAAAGAGTCTGGCAAAGCTGTCGTCGACTATCATGATATATTTATTAGAAAATTAATCCGAAAAGACTTAAGTTCATATAATTATACATAAATACTTTAACAAGGATTAGAATGCTTTAAAAAGATCTCGTATCGTCTAGTAGAAATAGGATTTCTAAGCTTTTTTGTCCGCTAAATAATGCTAAGAAATGGATTACCATATTGCATGTCTATGAAAAATTGCTATATTATACTTTTACTTCTCTTTCATTTGCTAATGTGCAGTCGAGTTCACGTCAACAGTAAACATACAACGTAAAATATTGTTTTAATGCACCCTATTTTTATAGTTAGTACGGTCGTTATTCGTAAATTAGTTTTCCATTGACGTGAAGCTGACTGAATATGGATTATTTGACTAAAGGATTTGTTGTCTATATTATATCTGATTTATATTGTTGTCGGTTTACAGATTCAAACCGTCCTTAGCCGCTATCAAAGCATCGTCCAAAACTTCCATGAGCCGAAACGCCGATGTAAGTAAATGGTAATTTGTTACATAATCGAATCAGTACTTTTCTAATATACTCGGTATAGCTGATTAGATTTTTTTTAAACCTGCTCTAATCATGTATAAGAGCTTAATTATCTGTAGACTGGAAGCTATTGTGGCTGAATAGCAAATAATGATTGGCAGATAGATATAAAAAAAAAAAATCTACTGTTACTTTTACGAATCAAATCAAAATTATTTATTCAGTCTAGGCTGTTACAAGTACTTCTGAAAGTCAAAACTCTATGCCATCGGTTCGTAAATCTAGAAGAATCGGCAAGAAACTCGACAAGGGCTGCTTTTTTCGCGCTGTTTTATTTCATACAGAGATGTCAATATAAAAAAATGACTTTATTAGAATATGTCAAAGAATATACCTATATTTTAAATTAATTCACTCGTCATAGAGATACTACTATTTTGATTGATAGAAGTCATTTCATATCTCTTTCTCTCTCTTTAAAAAACAATCACGACCATCCATAATGCTTGGCCAATCCTATTGGAATGCACTGAGTCCATAAGCAATCCACTTCTAACATTAACATTTCAGCGCTAGATTCCTTTGTTTGACTTGAATAATGTAAACCTGGAATATATAAATACTATTTAATTTTATTCTAATAAGCCATTTCAGCACCTATAATGTGAGGTAATTTATAGATTGATAATAATGTGGTAAACATTTTCATTTTATATAAAAACCTACAATCTAGACTAGAGTTACTAGAACGCTACAATCTATATAGGGCTGGTGAAAAGTATACTATGATTCAAAGTATATAAAGGATATTGCTTTGTTTCAACGCTCTATATAGATATTATAATCCGTCCTCTTTTACAATACAGCCGAATCCAGTCAGATTTTCATCTATCGAATTTGTCCGTAGTGCTTTGAATACGATGAAAAAAATACTCTGTGGTCATAGTATTAGAATTTCATTATGTACTCGTCGTTTGTTCCATTTTCACATATGGCTTATTGTAATTTATGACTGTGAAGCTTGGACTGTTGAAGCCAAGGTTAACATTCACTAGTTGGAGAGGCAGATGAAGAAAAAAGAGTTGGAGAGGCAGATTTTTTAAATATCTGGTTTAAAAAAAAACTATCTCTTAAAAATAAAATGTGTCAACAATTTGTCGTTGATCCGCCGGATTATCGGATCCGTTTTTCCGGATTGCATTTCCTACCTCTATTATTTTCGCGTAGTAGCTGTTTATTGTTATATGGGTGGAGTCTGCAACCTGTAGAGTTTATGAATACGTACAACGCTACATATAGTCTTCTATCGACGCTCACATAATATCTGTGTCATTATCCGTCTGTTATAGAAACATTATGACACTATCTATGATTAATTTCTACGTCTAAAACCAGGGTTCGCTGATAAATAGCAACGGGTATATATACGTTGATATGTATAATATTTATTATACACATCAATTGTTCGTTTTCGTAATGAGTTAATGAGCTAGGAAATTAACCAACAATATCCGATTTTTGGGAACCCTGTCTAAAACGGAACCTTAAGTTCTACGTTGTAATTCCTATTTTTTTTATTTACAGGGAGATACAGAGAGCATGATGTATACGTCAAAACTTTCCGTGTCCGGTCCTAAGGAACCTTCCCGTATGGTTAGGCCGATGTCCCGCAAGGATATATTCTATTCGGGCTCCGTGCTCAACTTGCCGCAGTACCAAAGTCAGAAGTCCCTTCAGGGTTATAGGAATTCGGTTCTCAGTTTGCCACAGAGCAGGCAGACTGGCGACTTGGAGAGGCAAGAACGTGAGTACAGTGTTGCTTTTAGTCGGTAATACTGTATGTGATACGCTTTTATTGTGACACTTTTATTTTATTTAGTCGTTAATGTCTCTTGTAGCTTTAGTAGAGAAATCGTCGGGTTAGCGTTACATTCGCTATATTCAAACTCCCTATTTGAGAATATGAGGAAAGGTTTGTGCATAATTTTAATCAATAGTCTTGCAGACTAGTAGAAAGGCTTCATCATCATCATTATCAGCCCTTTTCGTCCCCACTGCAGGGGCTCAGGCCTTCCTCATGGATGGTTAAGGAGGATGAGCCATGACCCTCCACGCTAGCCCAATGCGGATTGAAGGGTATTAAAGACTGCAAATGCAGCCGGGATCAACGGCTTAACGTGCTTTCCGAAGCACTAAGTAGCTCGAGATAATATTTTTTTGGTCACCCATCTCGTGACCGACCCTTGCGGAAGTTGCTTAATCACAACGTTATGTAACGCTTATGTCGGAAAAGCTTATGTAACTAAAATTTATTTATCAAGTAAGTAATCAATTAGATTACTTACTTGATAACTTGATTCCAATTAAATTTAGCAAAAAATATTACCTATATTAGAAGTTGTTGAAAACCCGCCAGTATCTGATTTTAAACAAACTACTTTAAAGACGTCCTTAATTGTGTTACAGGTTGTTTATATAAATTAGGTTTTCGTATATATCAACAATATCCAATTACGTGTATCGTGAGTGAGCATCATAATGAACGAATGAATACTTTGATTGTACACCATAATTAAATTATAGGACATAATTAAATAACAATCGGCGGCCTTTACTTAAATATACATATATTACTTAAATATACGGGCAGTAGATAGTATCTTACATATTAAAACATGTGTGTTTATTTTCATATATAAACATACATACATAAATTATACAATAATAAATATAAAAGTACTTACCTAAACAAAGTATACATATAGAATAGAAATAGGATGAAAACAATAACATATCTTACTACAACATATCCACATCAGCGTTCACTATTTAGCCGAAAATGTGTGTTATTTATAACATTGACGTTTGAAATTACAGAATACGACCTGTGCCCGTGTCTTGCATTGCCGAACTCGTTCAAGTCGGCATTGTCGTCAATGTTGGACGTGAGTTTACTACGCGACCCCGCCTTCATGTTGATCGGCGTCTCTAATATATTTGGAATGGCTGGTTTATACGTGCCCTTCGTGTATATAGTCGATGCTGCAGTGATGAATGTGAGTTTATTTATTAATTTGTTGAAGTCTGTAGCTATGACAAAATCGGTAGTTAATGGTATATAGGTATTACATGGTACTCATAAATAATTGAAGAACATACTGTTTAAAATACGCCTAGCCGAAACCTCGCTAGTGTCGAAGAGATTTAAGTTTACCTGCCTTGATACGTCATTGAAATTGTTAAGAGCTCGCCAGAGATATGCATTCCGTCTATAATTGGCAGAAACGGGAGAGATATATAAAAGAGGATCGAAACTGTGAGGCTTTGTTGTCGATGTATCTTTCTTTCGAGTTATTTTACGCTGGATCCCCGTGTCAATGTTAAATAAAAAAGAAATAATAAAAAAAAAACGAAATTTAAGAGCTCATTTTTCTAATTACGATAATGTAAATAAGTTAGATTGTCTAAGATCTCGAATAATTGCACTTATCGTAAGCATGGTAAAATATAAAATTCCCTATACAAAAACATTAAAAGGCGAAACATAACATAACTTTTTTTCTATGCGGGATTAAAAAACTCCTTTTCACATTTTTTTAAATAACTTCTTTTTTTAAATGAAAACTTTTTGTTCTACCAAAAAGTTTTTACAATACTCTTTGTGTTATAACAAAATGTACCTTATTATCTAGGGTGTAGAAGCATCGAAGGCTTCTTTCCTGCTTTCCATAATCGGCATCACTAACACGGTGGGCCGTATAGCCTGTGGATGGGTGGCCGACTTCCCGTGGATGGATTCGCTGCTGCTCAACAATCTGTGCCTCGTCATCGCAACCGTAAATAACACTTTATTTTCATGAAACAACAACAGTATTTTAACCGATTTTAAAAAAGGAGGAAAATATTGTTATTTTCACAATTTATCAATTTAATAATAATTCAAACTCACACGATTTGTTTATTGCATGTCACATAGTATATAGTTGTAGATATTAGGTATAGGTTATGTGACAGCCTGTAAGGGTGAACTAATTCAAATTGTATTTTAAATAATTTTATAATTATAATAGTATTATAAAGAGGAAATATTTTATTATTTGTAAGCATCGAGTAGACACCGAAACTAATTTACCGATTTAAAAATAAATAACTCCTACGGGTAGCTACATCATACGGGGTTGCTATAGTCTATAATATACGCGTCCGAAGTCGCAGGAAAATAGTTGTTTAAATATAAATCTTATTATTTATTAATAAAATTTTCAGGTATCGGTAGCGGCGACGCCCTTCTGTTATTCTTATGAAGCATACATAGCAGTAGCCATCGCTTTTGGCATTGCCATATGTGAGTAAATATTGATTTTATTATTTTTTATGTTAATTTTATTTATTTATTTGAATAGGACAACCAACAACACACAAATCGTCTATAAGTAAATTATTCAGTGCTTATAAACGTAGGCGGGGATGATAAATAGCTAGCGCAACCCATATTTTGTATAATAACGATATAAAATCTCCTTAGTAGGTACTTTACTCATTGGTTCATTAGCTGCCAGTGTTCCAAATTCCAAATCGATCGTATAGTTTTTCTTTTAAATATTGACATTTCAAAAAGCATTCTTTTGGTTTTTCTGCAAAATGGCTAAAATTGAGCCGTGATAAAGTTTTCGCATTTAAAAGGATAAAAAGGTGGAGACATTTTTTCGGAGATGAAGGCTGCTTCCTTGGGAGACAAATGCTCCTTCATATGCGACCGTAAAAAATTGGGTGGCTGAATTTAAACGTGGCCATACCAGCACCCAAGATGAACATCGGCCAAGACGTCCGAAAAGTGCCACTACTCCAGAAATTGTGATCAAAATTCATGATGCAGTTTTAGCTGACCCAAGATTGAAACTTTCCGAGATAGCTGATACTGTAGGCATCTCTAAAGACGGGCGCATTACATTTTGCCTCAAGAATTATGTATGAAAAAATTATCCGCAAGGTGGGTGCCGCGATACACTAAAATACACTAAATAAAATTCCCTTGAGATTACAAAAAAAAAGTCAGTATAGAGTTACTGCTTACAGTTGACCAAAAACGCGTTCGTATGCAAATTTCACAAAAATGATTGGACCGCTTTAAGAGCAATACAACTGATTTTCTGGGACGGTTTGTTACTACATACGAGACTTGGGTTCACCACTATATACCTGAATGAAAAATTCAGTCTAAACAATGGACGGAAAAAGGATCCCCGGCTCCAAAGAAAGCAAAAGCTGTGAAATCAGCGGTGAAAGTCATAGCGTCAGTATTTTGGGATTCGAAGGGTATATTGATGATTGATTACCTTCCAAAAGGACAAAACATAAATGGCGAATATTATGCTTATCTACTGGATAAATTACAAGTGTGTATTCGTGAAAAAAGACCCGGCCTGGCTAAAAAAAAAATCTTTCATCAGGATAATGCGCGCGTTCACACGTGCACGATGGCGAAATTCAAAGAATTAAATTATGATTTGCTACCACACCCAGCTTATTTCTCCTGATCTGGCACCATCCGACTTTCATCTATTCCCTAAGCTCAAAAATTTTTTAGGTGGACAAAGATTTGAAAATAGTAGCGAGGTGATGTCTGCTGTGGACAGTTATTTTGAGAGGGCTTGAATAAAACCACTTCAGGGATGGCATCAAGGCTTTAGAGCATAGATGGATGAAGTGCATACCGCTTCAAGGAGACTATGTCGAAAAATAAAAATACTTTTAATACACTAATTCAAGTTTTTCTATGCTAGGCTAGCTATTTAGCATCCCGCCCTCGTATAAGATCGATAATAGATCTTTTTTTTTCCTTAATTATAGTTTTCCACGTCATGCAAATGTGGATATAAATCACATTTTTAAGTTACATACAATTATTAGATGTATAAATTCATAAATTTTCTTTTATAAATTAAAAAAAATACATATATAAATTTCCCAGAAGTTATAAGTACATTATATTTTTTTTTTTATATAGATTTACCTTATAGAAAAACACTTACAATATTCATTTATTAAATTGTACTGATAACGGCAACGTGTACTGAGAAGAATCGGCAAGAAACTCGGCAATGGCTGCTTTTTACCCCTGTTTTATTTCATATGAAAAAGTCCTATTGGAAATTTAATTCTTTAGACTATGAATTCGTTTTACATTACAATATCAAAAATTTTAATACCCAAGTCATACATCACATCATTAGTCCTTTTACGTTCCCGCTGCTGGGGCTCAGACCTTCCTTATGGATTAATTATATGGTCAAGAAGGGTGGGCCATAACCCTCCAAGCTGGTCCAATGATGATTTGGGATATCAACAATTGCAAATGCAGCCAGGACCAACGCCTTAACGTGCTAACCGAAGCACAGATAATTATTTTTCGGTCACCCATCCCGCGACCGACCACTTTCGGAAGTTATTTAACTCCCCCGATTATAGTTATTGTATAATAGACTTAATGTTATTATATTTTAATTATTGTGCTTTTCAACAGCTGGCTACATATCGCTGACTTCCATCATCCTAGTAGACCTTCTCGGTTTGGACAAGTTAACTAACGCGTTCGGTCTACTGATATTGTTCCGTGGCGCGGCTGCAATAGTAGGATCTCCTCTAGCGGGCGTGGTATACGATAATACTCACAACTACGATGCCTCCTTCTATATGGCGGCGGCATTCTTCCTAGCGTCTACTCTGACTTCGTTCGCTGCACCTACATTCCGCAGGTATTTATTATGTTGAATTATAAACTGCTATTAATAAACAAGGTTTAGCTTTAGAAAAAAAATACGCAAAAATTGCAATACTAGTATTAATCTTAACTCATATACAGAGAATAAGCAAATTTACTACCTTCTTGGAGTAAATATTACTCCCGCAGAACTACTAGGTTAACCTTTGCTAAGTCTCTGTTTAATAATATGATTTTTGACTAATACTAAGTACGGTCTCAGCGTAAATTAACGCCAACGCTAAATCTTATTAATAAAACAAATAGAAATAATATAAAATAAATAAATATTGGAAAACATCATATGCATCGCTCAGATTCCAAGATGAGTAGCTGAAGTCCTTATTATGGAGTATATGAGACAACGAAGGTACAACAACACACAGACCCGAGATTATACAGAAAAGTCAATTTTCTACATTGACCCGACCGGGAATCGAATCCAGGACTTCAGAGGTGGCGACACCTTGAAACCAGCGTGCGAACCACTTAGCTACGGAGGTCGTCAAATAAAATACAACTAAAAACTACTACTATTACTGCTACTATTTTTCATAGCGTCTAATCTCACTCACTGCAACTACTTTTCGTAGGTATTTATGATATGTATAATATCGTTGGCTGACAATGTAAATACCTATTCTATTCTGACAGTGTATTAATGAATCCACTGGTAAAGCAGGCCTGATTCTCTATTGATAAAATCTATGGAGAATTGATCATAATCTGACACGTGTGCTCAACACGGATTGGTTACTGAATACAGACGCAGACGAGACCAATGGTTTAACGGTACTCTGAGATGGGAACGATGGGATGAGATGAGATCCCATCTCTGAGTACCTGGACGTTTTCCATTGAGAATAGTTTCCTGTTTGTGAATGCAAAATTGATTAAATATAATAATCTAGAACCGGCTCGAAGGACCATTTCCGAATAACAAAAATTCTCTCTTCAATAGGAAACAGGAGGAGATCCAACATCCGGTCGACGTTCTTAGTCCAATAGACGAAGATCTCGAAGAGGGCGAGGAAGAAGATCCGGATGATACTCCTATAACTATGGGCGCTAATCTAACCCGCGCCCCTCCAGCTATTACTAACACCGCCCCTTCCCCCTCTGACCCCCCTTCACCCGTCACGCCCGCCGCCCCCGCACGAGAGAGCGTACTGTGAGCCTTATTTACATCACAATAAATACCACTTTATTATAACTAGATGAATTTTCTACTCCGTAACTTGTTAGGGTCGTTGTACTTGATAAGATCTATGTTTACATTTAGGCCAATAACAGATCAAACTGTGCCAATGAAGACGAGCGAAATGAATTTTCGATGACGGCTGCAGAACGATTCTGTGAAAGTCCGAACCCGAATTCAAATTCACTCGGGCGTCCAATTTCAATTTGAAAGCGAGATCCGCTTAACCGTGAGTGAAGTAAGTTTCGAAGTGACAAGGATAGAATATCTGAGACAATTATGAATCGATCATTTTTGTTTTGTGTTTTTATGCAAAAAGTGGAATTTCTACACTAATATAAACTTTTGAAGTGATTTCGAACGCCTGAGTGAATTCTATTTTTTTCTAATTCGGTTCGTACTAACTTGCTCTTCCGCACGCCTTAGATGTTTTATACAAGAATTCTTAAGATTTCTTTCTTTCGCCTTCTTTGGCGTCGTCTTCATGTTCCATTCTGATTGTTAATATTAAACTGCAAATATTTCATAAATGGATGATTGTACTGGTGACAATCGTCACATCCACCTTATTTATATTATAATAGAGATGAATTTGCTATACTTATTAATTTCTGTACGAATACGTATTAACGAAACCTTATTTATATTGCAACAGAGACGGTTTTATCATAATAGATAAAATAATCATCAACTGTTAAAAATCCTGCTCACCGGGCTGTTCAAATATTACGTTAATTGAAATTTAGTTTTTAATACCCGCTTCCCTCATCAGCAAAAAATAAATTTCTATAGATCTTTAATTCAGATGTCCCTTCCCCCATATTACCAAAGATAAACGAAACGAACCCACGCAATTAGTGTTTTATATTTGAACAGCCTATTCAAAATTTACCTAGAATAGACAAAGATATTTTGAAAACTAAATATGCTAATAGTGGCGGCAATTCTGTTGGTACAAATTAGTGTAAAATTTATTTTAAGCCTGTCTATACTACGTTTTCAATTCTGTTAACAAATAAGATGACAGGAGTAAACGTTTCAAATTGAATTATATATTAAAATATATATTTATATTTTTTTAGTTTACATAGAATAAAAAGTAGAGATATAAAAAACCAAATTAAAGTAAGAGATTTTTAGTTCAATTTAGATAGTGGCACAACGAAATTGCCGCCAGTATTATACTAAAAGGTCGCAAACAAGTAATTATAAAAAAAATATCAAATTTTTTCATTAAAAAAAGAATATAACCTAAACTAGAAACACCAACATGTGTCAAACATTCAAATATATTGGTGTCCTACAAATGCCATCGTTTATTGATAAATTAACACTACGATCTCATTATGTCGGCATGTTAGTAGGACTTCTTCATTATGTATTGTAAAGGCTATAAAATTATTCTTTTTTTTTTTTATTATTCGTTCGTGCGTTCACTCAAATGTACGAGCTAGAATGATGTACTTTAAATAAAACTTAGAAACAAATATAGATAATAAATATAGATAGTAGAGTGCAGTATTAGAAACGTGACTCTTATTGTGTAGAAAGTAAAGCTCAAATTCACTGAATTCTCAGAGAATATAATTTTTACCACCAATCAGACTTAACGTTTCCATTGTTGGAGCATAGACCTTACAAATGTAAAGAATCGCTTAGTGAGACTAGTAATTATCAACCACGCGGGTCCAATACGGAATGATAGTCGTTACCGAATATATTGACGTGCCTTCTAAAGTAAGGAGGATTTTGAAATAAAGTTTTGATGTGGCCAATATTTGCGAAATTATTTAACATTCGCAACCGCAAATCATGTTAATCACTCTAAGATCCATATCTCGTTAATATTTTTAAATTTTCCAGACAATAACTGTAATGCCTAATTTGAAAATAAATAACTTGAAATGTTTTTGGGTTGAAGTATTTCATCACAAAAAAATATTCATAATACTTGCGACAGTCGAAGAGTCACGTTTTTAATAGGGCCTTGTACTCTTAAAATCGAAATTCGATTTAACGTGGACTTTTTCTTCATTGTCCTGCTCTAACTTACGTATTTTTAGAGCACGATCAAGTTGACGCTATATCGATAATTGATTTTCAGAGTACACCCCGTGCACTTTTTGTATAAAATACGTAGAAGCGCGATACTAATTTTAAAATACTAAATGTATAACATTAGAATAATGATAATTAATAATCGTTTAATGAAAGAGCTAACGAACTGTAAATACATAACGAGTTACCATGAATGATGGAAGCGGATTTAATAATGATATATACCTCATGGGCGTTATAGGAATTGAATGGAAGCAATAACGCGAGTGTTCGAATTGCGTTTAAAAATTGATAGAACGTTTTAAGGTCCATTATATTTCAACGTGCCATAAAATAGTCGTGTGATGTCATCATTTCGATGTACCACCAGACTACGACAAAAATGATTGTATACTCGGTAAAACGGAACGGTGTTTTTAAAATAATCAGTTACTAAATTTCAAAAGGTCATAGCAATAAATATTGTAGTACTTATATATTTTTAAGTACTTAGAAATGAACTTAATTAGATTTATAGATTTTTTTTTAAAAACGTAATGGAATTTTTCAGGTATATCAAAATATTTTTTTTTGTAACACATAAATGGCGTTATTTTATTACTGAAAATTGTAAATAGTAAATATACAAAATTGCTGCACTTATTAGTATGTAAATACACATAATTAACTATCTTAAAATCGTTCTCATTTCAATAAAAACTTACCGTTTCAAATACTCGTTTATCTACATGTAAGAAGTATATTTTAATTATTGGTCATCCATGTATAAAAGAGTCGAAGACAAAACTTGATATTATTCCATGTATAAACAAATCTTCCAACAATGGTCTGCATTGTTATAAGAAAAGGAAAATTCGATTGTAATATCTGTGAAATCAAGCTAATGTAGTATTTTATAAATGGTGTGTTAGTGTCATCTTCACACGCTATGAAAGATTCCCATTTCTTGATGTAGAGTATATGTAAGGTAGAAGCACCCATGATGCCACTGTCCAAATGGTTAAAAATTAACTAAAGAACTTTTGACCAACAACAGTCAACCGCCAATCAAACGTATTCTAGTTGGTTGTTATTTTTGATATATTTTCCATTCGCAATGTTACCTTTATTTATATTTAATCGTATGCTATAGAAATATTATATTTAGAACACATTATTGTCTTAATCAACAGTTAAAATGCTCGTAAAATATTTGCTTCGGCTATTTGGGTAGATTTTCTGAACATTTCCATATAAATGTACTAGTAGCCAAAGTAAAGAAATGGTTGAGAAATTCGAGTCTCGCTAAGGTAGCTCAATTGGTTGTACGGTCACTGGATTTGCAAAATTTTAAGTATTCAAATCCCATTTCGGGCGAAAACTTGATATTTTTATTATAGTAGTTTTTATTATAGTGGTCTTCTTAGGTGCTCTTACCTTATATTTAATATTTACTGACGATACGTTACTGATACTCATGAAATGAGTCTTTGAAACATTTAAAATAAAAGTTAGCATTATAAAGAAGGCACTTAAGTATTCTAGAAAGTAATGTAAGTCTAAAGTATGTTATATTATAATATTGTGTAGCCTTATATTACTTGTCACTAGGTTTTTAATTTAATAAATAACGTGTAGGACAGATAGTTGGAGTTTGTTAGAGTTACATTTTTTGAGCTTGGCTTTTTAATGGTAGCTACTTCTTGTGAGACATAATAACGAACTGATTTTAAAAGTCCCCGACTTTCGTATAGTTGGTTTTATGTGATTATTGTGTATGAGATTTTTGTCTCTTGTGATGTTGGTATAACTGTGCGAATGGCGGCGACTTTAATCTATTAACCCTTTTACTGTCTTCGTGTGCCATTTTCAATGAACAACGTATTCCTGTAAATAATTAAATTATAATATAAAAAAAATAAGTGATTAAAAATAGCGGATTAGTAAAATGTAACGCAGTCAATTTTCTGTGCATCATTTAATACCAAAAAAATTCATTATTGGGTAACGAAATGTAGGCTCTATAATTATGTACTTGCCAGTCGATAAGGTTTAAATTAAGTGAGATCAATAGGTACATGATATATTTTTGTCATAGATATTTTTTGTCATTAAAATGCATAATTTAGCTTTAAGCATAAGGATAATGTGTGTATAGAATGGCTATATGAACTGTTAAGATATAGACGGAGAAATTATGTGATAAATCTATAAAACGGTTATTGAAGTATATCTATTTCTTTTGTAACCACATGTATTTTAATATATTCAATTACTTGTATTCATATAAAATGTAAGATTTCGTTTAAGGGATAGTGTAAACTGATTTAAAAACAAACATTTAAAATTAAACGATAATTTATTAAGATATATTCGAAAGAAGTTATCGATAAATGTTACTGTTGTTATAGCTTTATGTAAAAACCAAAAGTGTTATTATGTTTTTAAGATAAAAAAAAAATAAGCGACTACAGAATGGAGATGTATTGTCAGTAACTTGATAATGTTCAAATTAAACGATGTATTTAGGCCAGTCTGGCCCCCGCGTTTTTAGGAAGTTTTGATCTTGAAATCTTATTTATTTTATTATATTTATTTATGTATGTATGTATTGTTTGTTTTGTATGATTAACATTCGTGTCGATATACGTCGTCATAGCAAATTAGCTATGTGGGGCTCAACATCAGGACATCTGTTGAATGTGTTTGATTCAGTATTGGCTTTAAGTATTGTTATATTAATTTGTGTAAATTTGAAGCTGTTTGCACATGGTATTAAATGATTATTAGTAGCTTATTTTTCTATTGAAGATTTTGTCTATTCTAAATTAATTTTTATTTGTGAATATGTATTGAATTGTATTTTTTTATCTATTGACATAGTATTTGTGTATTTTATTTTTATATTAGATGTTTTTTATTATCCACACCATTTTGTGATGCTTCAAGGCAATTGTTCCTTTTTAAAATTTTATATTTCAGTATATTAGTGTGACAAACAGCTTTTCTAAGGGTATATGAAGAACTAATAGTTATATACAGAAGCCAAAGGCAGAGCACGCGTTTTTAATTCGCTACGCTCGCTCGCTCGCCCGGTACAAATTCAAGCTTATTGTTGATATGTCCACTTTTGTAAATAATCGATTCATTAAATGATAATGATGACTGATTAGTTTGTCTTTTTATTTTTTTTACCCATGTAGCATGAAATTCTCATATAACTCACAGATCGAACGTGTGTTTAAAATGTATGATCAATCGTTGCCTAAACATACGCTATAATAACGCAGTAGATTTCTATCTCCTTATCTATTTAAAATCTGCGGGAATCAGGCGAGTGGAGTACCTACACAATGGCGCGCTACTTGAAACAATCTCATTGGCCAGGATTTGCCGCACTTCGAAAATCAAAACTATACAAGTATATCAATATAAATAACTTCTAACTGACAAAAGTTAACTAGACACCACTGACAATAATTGAAGTCTTTTTAATTAAAGAGCTCTAAATACATATCGGCAAAGTGAAATAACACCTTTCTTAAACTATAATATGCTTCATGATTTTACAAAAGTCTCCAGAATATTACAAAATTTTGTTAAATCTTTTATTTAGGTTAAAATAATATATCGCGAGAGGCTAGAGGAACATGTTTTATTATAATTGACAACCTTATTTAGAAGGTTAGTTTAAAACTGCAAATATGTTTCCAATATCTGAACTCTATAAGTTATAGGGCTGTCAAGTAAAAATAATCTCATCTTTATTACTATTTTCCATTTTTTTGTCAAAATATGGAAGTTATTTTAGTGTTCCTGGTTATTTATGGCATTAAAAAATATTACTCATAAAATTACGCTTAAAATTATTTCCTCTGAGTTGAGTTGAGTTTCCTTTGACTGAGTTGCCACAAGGCAAATAAATGATGCATAAACGCATATTGCAGTTCAATGTTACGTAGGCGTCAGTCAAAACTCGGGACGCTGTTTAAAATATATTCAGGACGTTATAAAAACCAGGGCACGTCCTGAGAAAAAGGTACGGTAGGCAACTCTATTTTTGACGCCGAGAAATGCGTTACGCATACCCGCCTCACCCAGCGCGAGCTCCACGGGTTATATGGAACTCTACCCTGCGAATAACCCCCACAATGAGGGCAGGTCAAAGAGCAGGGGCATATCACGTCGCGCGGTAGCGGTCCCCAAAGGGGCCATTTCCCGCGCCTATCATCCCCGCTCTACCCGCCCCTATTACAGGGCAGGCCCCATCTCGGGATAGGGGAAGGGCTCAGGAACATTCGTGTCCTACAAAGGACAAAACAGGGCGTGCAATGCCTGGTGAATGCGCTAAACTACCAGACTGCCCCTAACCCGTCTAATAGAAGAATTCACGTGGTCTGAATCCTCGTGAATCCTTCACCCCGATAGCCCCAGTTACCCTTGTTGCTCAGTGTTAACCAATCATCGGTAGTTCATCGCAATGAACTATTTCAAATTCATGGGCTTGAATGGCCAACGCCCACCTGGCTAGTCTACCATTCATGTCTCTACGCTCTTTTAACCAACATAGGGCTTTGTGATCTGTTACAATCTGAAACTTGAGACCCCACAGGTAATGACGGAAATAATTTGTGGCCCATACGACAGCTAAACATTCCTTTTCCGTTATCGTATACTTTTTTTCACAATCACTCAATTTTCTAGACGCGAAAGAAACCGGAAACATTTGTTTTTTTCCTTGCATTAAACACGCTCCTAAAGCAATGTCACTCGCGTCAACATATAATCTCGTTATAACATCATTAGAATTATCAAAGTGTTTCAGTAATGTTTTGTCAAATGCGTTTTGTTGACTTTCAGACCACTCAAACTTAGTATTCTTTCGTAATAATTTGTTTAATGGTACAGTCAACAAAGCAAATTTGTCAACGAATTTTCTATAATACGAAAAAAAACCCAACACTGATTTTAATTCTTTTGTATTCGTAGGAGTCTTTACAAATTTTAATTTATGTAATTTATTTTCATCTGGAAGTATTCCAAAACCAGAAATAGTATGACCTAAAACAGAAACTTTATTAAAACCAAAATTACATTTTGATGGTTTGAGAGTTAAATTCACTTCTTTTAATCTTGATAAAACTTGGTCCAAAGCATCGTAGAATTCCTTAAATGTTCTTCCGTACACAATAATATTATCTACATATATTATTGCACACCTATACTTCAATCCCGCGAGAGCTTTATCCATGGTTCTTTGAAAAATAGCACCACTAGTCTTTAGACCAAAAGGTAGGACATTGAATTCATATAATCCCGACGGTGTGACGAACGCAGTCTTGTGTTTATCGGTCTCCTTGATACTCAATTGCCAATACCCAGAATTTAAATCTAGATCGGCAAAATATCTGGCTCCATTTAGATGCGTAATCAGATCTTCTATCAAGGGTAGTGGATATGAATCCGTAATTATTTTCTTATTCAGCTTCCTATAATCGACACAAAATCGCCATGTATCATCAGGTTTCTTGACTAAAACAACTGGTGACGCATATGGACTTCTGGATTCTCGAATGATTCCATTTTCTAACATCTCGGCAACCTGTTCCCTGATAATTCTATGTTGTTCATTTGATACCCTATAAGGTGCCCTATGAACAGGAATATCATCCGTCGTATCGATTTTCACTTCACTAAATTCACACTTTCCCAACTCGTTTTTATTAAACGCAAAACACGACCTATATTTTATTAATAAATTATGTAAGTTACAAAATTCATCTTTCGATAATTCTTTGGAAATATTAAAATTAACTTCATTTTTATTTGCAACCACTACGCACGTTTCATATAAATATTTTTCATTTTCGTTCACTTTTTCTAAAAAGTATAAATAATCGCTTTTAGACAACACGCTTGTATTTGATTGTACTATGTCAATCGAATTTTTAGCATTTGTCAAATCAGATTTCATCAAAAAATTTACCATAATATTTTTTATACATAGTCGATAACTATTAAAATCTACAATTGCACCATGCGAAAATAAAAAATCTTGTCCTAATATCATTTCTTGACTAATATTCTGCACAATATAAAAATCATGCACAAATAATACATGTTCGAGAACAATCTTTAAATTAACTTTACCGATAACCACGAGATTCGCGTTATTAACCGCATGGAGTGAAATATTACACGGCACAATTTCTTGACGTAGTTCATGCACGACGGTGTCCGAAACAACGGAAAGCGATGCACCCGTATCAATTAGAGAAATCAAATCTTTTCCACGACACGATACTTTAATAAATGGTTCGAACTCACGTTTGTGCTGGAATGCGTTGAATTGTGGCGGCAGTGTGCTTCCAGCATTCACATCAGACGCCTTTGCTCGTTTGGGTGGCCTTTATTTTCATTAGGTGATGTCCTCCTCGGCTGTTGTGTGTTATTTCTTGGTCTGAAATTATAAGGGCGGGGCATCATCTGATCGGGAGGTGGGATTTTATGAGGGGCATAAGGTGGAGAATTAAATGTTCTAGTAGGGCGAATTGATGTTGAAGGTTGCTGATCTCCTTGTCCGCCCTGTCTGCTAGAGGAAGGAAAAACATCTACAATACTTGTTAATTTTATAGGTAAATTAATGTCCGCTTCTCCATCCCCTCTATTATAAATTTCCTTCAATTGTTTAATCACGTCCTTCAACTGTTGTTTATTTGAATACAACTGCGATCCTAAACGCCGTTTGGTTTGAAAATTTGCTGCCCCAAGAAAATGCTGGATGAAGCATTTATCATCCACTGCCGCCCCTGCTTTACATCCTAAATAATCTAACGAATAAAAATAATTGAGTGGGTCCTCTGTTGCACCCTGTCTTCTAGCAAAAAATTTTGCGAGAGGATTTGCAGTTGAAGAGAACTCTTCGCTAATTTGTTTCTCAAGTTCCTGAAAATTCTCACAATTGTCTTTTATTTTATTATAAAATAACAGTGCAGGTCCCGCTAAATATGCTGCCAACACTATTTTTTTAGTCGATTCTTGATATCCATTTGCTGCTGCTATAATATTAAATTGGGAAAAAAAATCAGCCACATCACCTTTTAATCCGTCGTATTTCTCCATTTTCGTTTTCTCGCTTCTATGTTTTCTTGCTTTTATGTTTTCCCCGCTTGGCTTACGAGAGGTATCGCTGTATTTCGAAACGTTGCGCCTCCACCATGTGGCGACTTATGGCAACTTAGTCTAATGGTGGAGGTGGGTGGCGCAATGAAAAAACTGGTAGCACTCCTTAGTCTTGATTTATTTCTGATAAGAATTACATTTAAGAACTTACAATAATTATACTACGATGCTCACCCTAAGCTGGTCTCGATCAGAAAAAAAGACTATTTACCAGCAAAACACGAACACGCGAATTCGAATAAGAAAAAATAATAATTTAAAATATTAACGGCCAGCACTTGACCATAAACCGTCCGAAGAGTAAACCCTACCTATAGTAATGTGCTCGGACGTTACAGTACCCCGTCCCTTAGTCGCTACTCTGATAGTGACCCCACTGCCGGGCTGGGCCGGGCTGCCGCACACACCGTTCGGTGTGTGGGGTGATCGGCCCCAGGGATGGTAGGCAACCCTAGACTAAACGATTAATAAATACTACTTTAAACAGAATACACAATCATAAATATAAGAATATAAATACGTCACAGGATTGATTTGAAGAAGTTAATAAGAGTGAAAATATAATTGAAACCGGAACACGATTTACGATTATTGTAAAAGCTCTCCGTAAAACCCTTGGCTAAAAAGTTGCTCACATATTTATTGATTTTCATTAATTATCTACGACAACGAGAATTTTAGAGGAAACTTAATGATGTTTTTCTGTATGAAATCTTATAAATTCAAGATTTTTTCATTTTAGTTTTTTCATTTTCATTTATAGTTTGTTTGCACATTATTTATTTGTATAAAATTTAAAGTAAGTTATTTTGTATGTACACGCCTTCTTGAGTTTTAATTTAAAGGTATAAAGGTATATAAGGGATTTTGTTAGACCTCTGTTGGGAAATCTCAATTTTCTGGATTCGGCGTCTTTGTTTTTGAAATACCTAGCTCTTAACCCGCTTGATGTCGAAATCCCATAAATAAATGTGTTTACATCTTAAAATGA